GGTTGGAGTGTTTGTTCTGTAGGTTGAGTTCCAGCTTTGTGATGGGGGTGGATGGGTGGTTGGGGTGGGATGTGAGAAATATCTGCAAAATGTGTGAAATGGCCTCTGAAATGAGGTTCCCTCCCCCCAATCTGGATCCCCCCCCCACTAATGCTATTTAGAAGAGCTGTGAAGACCTGGCTCTCCACCCGGGGCTTCCGTGGGAGAGGGGGAGGTTTATCTTCTCCATCCCACCTGCCAGCTTTTATCTTCCCTTTTCATGTTTGATTGATTTTGTTCTGATCGCTTGCCCAAAGCGAGCAGCCCCAGCACTCCTGAGAATCTGGAACCGTACAAGTTTCACATATTATTAGCATTATTGTCATTATTTGCAAAATGTGTGAAATATTTGCAAAGTGCAAGTATTTTGTCAAAGTACTTTATTTTGGTATATTTGGTTATACATAGGAAATAAGATTAATAAAATAATAGCAATTGCACTTAGACTTATATGCTGCTTCACAGTGCTTCATAGCCCTCTCTAAGCGGTTTACAGTCAGCCTCTTGCCCCCCAACCACCTTGGAAGGATGGAAGGTTGAGTCAACCTTGAGCCTGGTGAGATTTGAATTGCCAAATTGCAGTCAGCTGGCAGTCAGCAGAAGGAGCCACACTCTGACCACTGCGCCACCACGGCTCAGTGGTGAATGCTATAAAGTACAATGAAAAGTAGAATGAAGAAAATAAAGGTCAATTAAAAATTTAAGTCTCACTGTTTCTAGCAAGGCCCTGCTGAATTGTGTTGAGTATTAAATAAAATATGGCAATATTATAAGGAGGCTATTTTTTAGCCTTCCAGCTAGGATCAAATGTAGAATTTGCAAAAAGATGGCAAAGTTTAATTGGATAAGTTTGATAGCCACAATTTGTAGTAAACCAAGGCCAAGCCCCTCCACACAATTGGCGCAGGCAATGAACTGGAGCACACAGTCAGTCATAGAAGTTCCAGGAGAATATTTGCTCCCCCCCCTCCCCCAGAATAACCAAAGGGGGATTGTGAGCTCTCTTATCTTTTAGCCAGGTGGGGAAACAGGCATCATTTTGGTATCGTTTGACAGCTGATCAGCACCAACAATTTCTTATCATGCTGCCTGGCGACAGCAGAGGACTCCTGTGATGGCTGGTTGTGTCACCTGGCTCCACACATCATGTGGGTCGCACGGATTTGTGAGATGTGTTGTATAAACACAGCCGTGGTGTTTTCAAAAAGCAAGCTTGTCTTCACTTTATCTCTTCAAGTAAAATGTTTTATCTTTTCAAAAGCTAAAGCAAAACAACCACAACCCTTTCTAATTCTTTCAACAGGGCTTACCTGGGCCTCCAGGTGACAAGGGAGAAACTGGGGACGTCGGCCAAATGGTAATAAAGTCAATTGTTTTATCTCAGATGTTAATGTTACTGTGTATGTTTTGGACAAAAGCTTTGTCTTTCCGTCAGTTGAAGGAGTATTTCCTTTCCTTTCCCCAAGGGTCCTCCAGGTCCCCCCGGACCCAGGGGCCCAGGGGGACCCCCCGGAGCTGATGGGCCACAAGGTCCCGCAGGAGGGATTGGAAATCCAGGATCTGTTGGTGAAAAGGTAATGCTGCTTTGCCGGGGAATATTGGAGGCAGGCAGCAGAAGTAGCTGGCAGTTCTGCTCTCTAACCACTGTGCCCTCACAGCTGTAGCACCTGAGTTGCCTTGTCTTTTGCAGGGAGAACCTGGAGAATCAGGAGAACCTGGCCTTCCCGGAGACTCTGGACCACCAGTAAGATTTAAAACCTTTTTTTAAAAGAAAAGTATCCGTCTGGAATTGAGATGAAATGGAATAAAATTGGTACTCAGGAATGGTTAGAAAGCCTTAGGCAAGGATTTCCAAAATGGCGTTTTTAAGACCATTTCCAGTTCTGTCCCTTTTCTGACCCTCCCACAAATAATATCTTCTGGAGCAGCCTTCTACTAAATGGATTGAGAAGGGAACTGACAACCACTCTTGCACTTGTTCCCGTCTCAGTCCTTTTTCAGACCCCTAATTCCTCTGGGGATCCACAATTCCGCCATCAACTTACCTATTTATTGGACCAATTTCCTACAGTTGGTCCCTTGAAATCCACTCCCACAGAAACCAGCTGCTTAATCAAGGCAGGACAAGTCAGAAGACACAAGGCATCCCAGTGTAGGAAGTGGGCTCTTGTGAGAAAATAGGTGTATGGAGAACCCAGAATCACAACTGCATTCCTGCCCAGTGTTCACTTTGTCCTCACAAGGACCATGCAATAAAAATCCATGTTCTTTTCATTGTGCAAAGGGGAAATTCAGGTATAACTCTCCAAGGATAGGTGAGACAAAAACACAACAATTTGTGGACTTCCCAAAATTAGTATAGCGCATTGTTTAGGTGGGAAAACGGAACCTTAAAAACTGAAATTTTTAAAGCAAGTGGACATTATCTGTTGTTCTAACTGTCTTCTTCAAGAAACAGGGGCTAGAAGTGAACCCATACCTTTAGTCCAAAACATATTACAGCTGCACAAAATGCTCCTAGCTGGTTGATTTGTATACCAAAACTTTATGTAGCTCAGTCAAAGCTGTGATATAAACAGCGCTCCAACTGATTATGGTGATTCCTTCAGAATTTGTGGTCCTGAAGAAGTTCCTTCATAGCTGTGATTGCCTTCAGACATTGTGGATATTCCATCACTGGAGGCTTTTAAGAAGAGACTAGAGAGCCACCAGTCTGAAATGGTCTAGGGTCTCCTGCTTGAGCAGGGGGTTGGACTAGAAGACCTCCAAGGTCCTTTCCAATTCTGTTGTTCTGATTCTGATTCCTCTCTATCCCCAAAAGGGACAGCAGTGGAGGAGACATCTGTGCCTTGGTGTCATGCTGATTGAGCATCAGAAAACAATCAAATAATGGCCATTTTTTTTATTTCCTCTAAGTGCTGATTGGGCCTTTAATTGGTTTTTGTCCCCATTGCTTAAACCGTTGCTGAAACAAACCTTCTAACAAGCACCTTCCTTTGACAGGGTCCTAAAGGAGAAAGAGGGGAAAAGGGGGAAGCAGGCCCCTCTGGGTCTGCTGGGCCCCCAGGCCCCAAAGGTCCCCCAGGAGATGATGGCCCCAAAGGGAGCCCGGTGAGTAACCCCCTCCTCTATTATTTTGCCCAGTCAATCTGGAAGGAGATTGTCCCCTTATGATGCCCCCCTGTTCTCTGGGCTGGGCTGCTGGTTCCTTCCAGAGAGCGAAGGGCCTTGTCTGCTTTTCTCCTCTTCCTTGCGGATCCTGCTTTAGGAGCCTTGGTCCTCACGTGCTTCTTTGGGGGCAGACTATGGGGCCTCCCCCTGCCTTTGTTTCCCTAGAGCAATGCCCCTTTTCTACAGGAAGAGATCCGGGAGGGGGGGGAGATTGGGAACTTGTTTCCTTGGGCCTTATTATTTATGTAACGCATTTATTTATTTTTATTTTTTTTAATTAATATGTAACACATTTATTGTTGTTGTTATAAACAATAGGCTGCCCGACTCCTAAAAAATTATGAGCAGCTTACATATTAAACATAAAGCTCATTAAAAGGAAAATACAAAAGAGCAAAATACAAAGAGCCTTGTGGTGAGATGGGCCAGAAGTAAATGTAATTAATAAATAAAAGCCAAGCCAAACAAAAGAAAACCAAAAACTGGGCTCCTCAGTCACTCAAAGCCTTGGTGAATAACCAACAAACCCCCTTGAGCAGGGGTGAAATCCAGCAGGTTCTGACAGGTTCTGGAGAACCCGCAACGGAAATTTTGAGTAGTTGAGGGAACCGGCAAATGCCACCCCTGGCTGACCCCAAAGTGAGAAGGGGAATGTGGATTTTGCAGTATCCTTCCCCTGCCACGCCCACCACGCCACGCCCACAGAACCGGTAGTAAAAAAATTGAATTTCACCACTGCGCTCGAGGTGAGATGGGCAGCAAATAAATACAATAAGTAAACAAATGAATGGCATAAGGCTGGGAATCACATACATCCCTGCAGGGAGATTTGAGATTGGATGGTAATTGGCCAGGAACACGGGGTTCGTGTCTTTTTGAGGAAAGGGTGCGCTACAGGCAACTCCTTCAATTCCCTCCCTCAAGGATCCTGATACCCCCAGTCAAGATCACCAGGGCAGCGTTAACTATCTAGGATCTAAGAAGCCGATGGCCACCTTCATAGACTAGAACACTCTCTCCATTTGCCTAAGAGTCACAGGGACTTTAACTTGATCCAGGCAGCCAAGGGACCCTATGACTGCAGGGGCGAAGTTGAGGGGCCATCAGAGAAATAACAGGATATTCCTGATAGTGATGCATCCGTCCTGAGGCTCTTCCTCCCCAGCGAGGACCAGGCCTCCTTAACAGGGCATCAAGTAGCCATCGGTAGATGCAAAAAATAGAGAGAAATAACCGATGTAATTCCTAATGTAGATTTTACCTATGCTGGACTGGATTCACTCTTCCTTTTCCTCCACTGAGGCTCCAGGTATCTCTTCTTGCCTTCATTTCCTGGAGCTCCTCAGAAAATGGAGGGTTTTGTTCCTCTCTTTTCTTTCAAAAAACTTTTGACCAAGCTTGGCTTGCAAACTCCTCTCTCACTAGTCTACTTGAGATCCCGGAGTCGTCCCATTTCACGGGAATGGATATTCTAATGCCCCCTTGATTTCACTCTTACAGTCAGGGCATTGCCAAGAGTGTTGCTCATTTCTTTCTTCTGCTGAATGCAAGATTTCAGGCTCTTTCTTTCCATACCTTTGCAGGGTCCGGTTGGATTTCCAGGTGATCCAGGCCCCCCAGGTGAACCTGGCCCAGCTGTAAGTACCAAGGTGGAAAACAGGGAGATTGTGTCTCTCTCAAATGTGTCTAAAAATCTTCATGGGAAGAAAATTCTGGGGAGTTTGCTTTCCAGAACTTTTGGAAATAGTTCAGTTTGGTTTGAAATAGGGAATTTGGACATTTAAAATGTTGTATTTCCCCTTACGATTTCATTTCATTTTTTTTCATTTATTTGACATTTATAGGCCGCCCTTTTCCCTGAGGGGACTCAGGGCGGCTTACAATTAATGGGAAGGGAGTGCAAAATAAAACA